GAAGATGCGTTTATGGAAACGTCATTTCATATTTTACATTACACGTCGCGATCTGCGTTTCCTTCATCGTGTTTAGTCCCGAATTAGTCTGCTGCCCCTTCCTGGATTCGACATTGCTTCTTCCTTTTTCGTTGTTCGTGATTCGGAACTAAAGGAAGCTCGCAGTGCGGCAGAGCTACTCCCTGCATATTCAGCACTCCTTCTGCTTCTTCCTTCTTCGGCACTCCGTTCGCGATTCGCAGATTCGACATTGCTTCTTCCTTCTTCCTTCTTCGGCACTTCTTCTCTTCCAGGTTAGTAGGTGCTCTTAACCTTACTATATTCTATTTTCACTTCTGTATTTTTATGGTTAAGTTCTGGTTTGCTGATCTAAAAGATGTCCTTGAAGTGGAGCAATATCCACTCTCACAGGAGATGATCTTTGGACTCTTAGGGTTCTTCTGTATCTTTTTTTTTTTTTTTTTAAAATTTTTTGTTGCTGTGGAAGAGGAATTTGTTAAACCCGTTTCAACCGCTCCTCAACTCTCCTCTGCTCCTTTCTTCTTTTTTTTTTTTTTTTTGCTTAATTGTTTTAGCCTTGACTTCTGTAGGATTGGAAGGCAAAATGTTGCACACCAAAAGTATAAACAGGCTCTAATTGATGCTATCTATTTTGGTTTTTTAGGAGATTATAATTGTTTTTTAGAACTTAAACCTCCTGTATGATTGTAGACTTTTAACTTCATATTGAATGAAAACTTAATGCCGATGTTAGAAAAAGCTTAATCGGAATGAGAGGCAGAAGCATTAATGCATGGCTATTGCAGTGGAGATATGCTAGAGCTAGTAAATTTCATATAAAAATTAAAGTTTTGGTGGTAGACATGCAAATATATAGAAATTAGGCGGTATGTATGTAACTGCCCCTTTTTTTATTTATATGTTATCAGTATAGTAGTGATCAGTGATTGTTCTGGTGGCTGTGATGAGAGAAAATATTGGTTTTCTCAATTCCTTTGTTGGGAAGAAATTTTAAAATGAAGGGAGAACAACTTGCAAGTTTCTAATGCTTCATCATGAGTCTTTGTGGGCACACCTTTCTCTTTTACCACATAACATTTTGTATGCAACACTAATCTACAATTTTATATACGGACATGTGTCTTTGGAGACTTTGGTTGATCTCCATAAATTAGTTTTATGATGTGCCCACTTCTTACGGCTCCTATTAAATTAACATTTGTCTTTCTTTGTAAAGTTTGTGTTGATGGCCCAGTTCATTATAATATGTACAAGGTATCTTTACTGTGGTGCAGTGATTGCGTTGAACTGCATATAAAAAGCTTCTAATGATGAGGCATATAAAAATGAAGCTTCAGCTTATTATCACTAATAAGCATATAAAAATAAGCTTCAAATGCATGTAAATTTCCTTTTGCATTAGCCAGATAAGATGATCCCTGAACTTTATTGATAGCCATTATAAGGCCGTTTATAGGCACTTTCCCTGTCCCTCTTGGCGATCAGCTTGGATGGCCCTTCTCTTTAAGGGCAACCGGTGCTTTAACAGTGGATCAAATGGTGGTATGTTACCGCAGCAGTTGGAGTGTGCCGTTGAAATGGATGCTTTTTATCACTTTGGTATTATATACTTTCAATGAAATTCTTTCTTTCATTTAACTAGTTTATGAGTAATGATGAAATGGTGGTATGTTACTGCAGCAGTTTGGGTGTGCCGTTGAAATGGATGCTGGTATGTATGGGGTAGATTCTTCAAGTTTACTTTGCTTTCTGCTGTTGGCTCTTAGGCATTTGTTGTTCTGCACCATCTGAGGCTTGACTTTTTAATTCCCTCATTTCTTGCATCGATTTTGCAGTACCTGCTAGAAGTTTGAGGATTATTGTAGTTGAAATGATGGAGGGATTCTGATTGTTTTGGATCAAGATAAGGCCTTCCATGAGGCATATTAGTGTGTTAAGGTGTATTTCACTTTTGTTTAAGTAACTGTGCTTCTGTGATGTCATTTGAAATATTTAATTGATATAAATATTTGTTATTTTTCATGTTCTTCAATCTTCACTTTTATCTCCCTTTTATGATTGCATTAAGAATGTTGATGAATTTGTAAAAAAATAAATTTTTGACAATCCCTATGTCTCAAATGAGTATGAAGTGGGTTAATTAGTTGTAAAATAGCAAAATAATAGATATTGTCGTTTTGTTGAGAAAATTACAAATTTTGCGTGACAGATTGTTCATTTAATTAAAAAAATCTGCAAATAAGCTGTTGAAAAAACGCACTAACCAAACAGCTAAATAAATTATCCAGAACAAGGGCAGAATGGTCATTTATTCAGAATTACTTGTTTTGCAAACGCACAAAACAAACAGTCAGTTAGCTTATCTGGATCAGCTGGTCATCGATAAACTGCTTATCAGCATAAGCTGGATGAGCTGCAGCAACCCCAAACAAACCCTTAGCACATGAGGTTGGCTATCAATCTTTGTTAATATATATATACATATTCATATATATATATACATATTCATATATACATATTCATATATATATAT